AAACATAAGTGGAAACGAAAATTATGTATCTCGCATTGTTATCAAGAATTTTAGCAATGGTTTTTTTTTGTATTTCGGTACTTCTTGGCTCAAAACTCTCGTTTTAGATGGTATAGAAAATCCTTTAGAGAGAGATATTGAGCCTAAAGACCAAAACCCTCGTTTATATAGACATTCTCCCATCAAAAATATTTATTATTACGAACTTCATAACGTTCAAGAATTAATTCAAATTTGTAACGTTTGGACTATAATAAATTTTTTTAATAATATTTATTAATAATAATAATTTAAAAAATTAAAATATTTAAACCACAATAAACGAAGAAATTGATGGTAATGAATGATGAACTTAATGAGAACTGTTACATTCTCTCACTTGATATATACGCTTACTTTAATAATTTAAATTAATCTTTATCGAATAAATATATACATAACCGTTTAATATATACATAGTGTCTTTAGGATAACCTTGGTTGGATCTCGATTTAATATATACATAACCATTTTTAGTACTTTAGTCCATAAGAACATAGGAAGATTGGAGTTGCTAAGCATACTCCGTACCATGTCAAATAATGTTCGATTTTTTTTTCTGCAACACCATTCTAGTATAGAAAATCAAGCATAGTGTGTTGGGCAACAATCACATGTTCTTGAATAAACTTAGCAAAAAAACTAGGTATTTGTCTATTTTCAGTATATCTACCATAATATTCTCCACCTCTATCTGATCTCATAATTTTAATTTATTTACCACATTGGTTCTCAACTTCAACCTTAAAGATTTTGAAGGCATCCAATACTTCATTTTTGTTATGAAGCAAATAGATATACATATATCGTGAGTAATCATCTATATAACATATATCATTATTAATGATCACTAATATGTCTGAACTCTTATTAGCATATTTCTTGGACTTGTTGGTCTGCTTTCCTTTAATACAGTTCACACAAGTTTTAAAATTAGTAAAATCAAGAGTATACCCTATCATTAACTAATCTCTTAATTCTCTCTATGGAGATATGTCCTAATCTCCAATGCCATAACATAGAGGAGTCATCATTAATATTACACTTTTTAGTGCAAGCGTGAACATACATTGAACTTTGAATGTCATAATTTTGTAAGAAAGTACGATAAAGACCATCAGACAAAATACCTTTCCTAACACAATCAGATTTATATGATAAACGACATGATATATCTTGAAAATTAAAGGAATATCCAACTGATATGAGTCTGGAAACAAAAATTAAGTTTCATGAGAAACTTGGTACATAAAAGATCATTTCTAATTTTAAAATAAAACCATTACTTAAAGTTAAAATGCATATTCTAATTGCCTCCACATGTGAGCCCATCTTATTACCTAATAAGATGTTTTGCTCACTTCTTATTAGCTTTCTTAGGTTTTGCATACCCTGCAAAAAGTTTATAATATGGATTGTTGATCCAGAATTAATCTACCATGTGTTAATATTAATATTAACCATATTAGATTTATAATACACAAACGAGGTTGGTTTACCTTTTTTTTTCAAGTCATTGTTAGAATTTCATTTATTCCTTCATTATGTGTCCCTTCTTTTTATAGAAGAAACACTTTGCTTCTTTCTTAATATCAGCTTGGGGTGATATTTTACATTTTTTCTGTAGATGAGCTTTCTAATTGGCTTAATTTTTATCAATTTTATTCTTCTCGCAAGTGGTTACCACTAATGCACTCTCACCCAGCTCCATCACTAGCTTCTCTTGTTCTTGAACACACATGGTCATTAATTCATTAATTGATTATTTATCCTTATGTGTATTGTATGAAAATCTTAAAAGGTTCATATTGATGTGGAAGAGTGTTCAGAATATATTGCACTAGGAAGGATTCTGACATATTAACCTAGAGTTTCTTAAGTTGAACCATAATATCTTGCATTTGCATTATATACTCACGCACACCCTTTATATTGGTAAGTTTGAGGGATGATAATTTCATTATTATGATACTTGCTAATGCCTTTTTCAAAGTGATGAATTACTCATCGGTA